TTGATTTTATGATGTTTTTTTTATATATCAGTGTTATTTAGTTTTGGTTGTCAAAACATTATGTAAGAGCCATATTCTGTTTTATAGGGTATAAGGTGTAAAACTTTTGATGTATTGTATTAGGATTAGTTGGCAACCGAGCCAAAGTTGTGTGGTGGTGGTCACGGCAGAGCAGCGTGAGCCACAGACTGAAACGGACAGCACGGAGAACCAGGAACTCCAGGCCTGGTATACACACGCTGACGTGGGAAACAAGATAGCCGCCGAGTTGTGCGTGAAGTAATTGGAGATATATGGACATGAAAACTTGCTCTGTGAATGTAAATAGTGTAATATAAGTCATTTTTAGATGACGAGTTTCCATAAGCCCTTCCTCTCGGTCTGAAAGTCCCGTGACAACTGACAGACACTTACTAAAACAGCTTTAGGGCAGTTTTATGAAAAAAAAAAAACATTTTCACGGAACTTTTGATATATGTTCCAACTATTCCTAATTTGATTTTGGGTTTAATAATCGCTTTTCCTAACGGTTTGCTGATACTTATATCTGCTAAACTATTAACAGAATCCTCGGCTCTCAGCATAAGACAACAGACACCGTCTCTACAAATATAATCTACTTTCACATTCCGTATACAGGACACCTTAGTTTTCCCAAAGAGACGACCGTAAGGAAGTCATTAGTGATTTTTACCAACAAATGTCACTGAGAATGATATTCATCTCCCAAAACAGTACTCAAAAAATTCTTCAGAACTAATCAGTAGCTACCTACACCTGCGTCTTGCTTCTTTGGGCTTACTGGTCGTCGTCAGCTAGGTTATTATTGTGGTAGCGTAGTAGCTGGACCGATTTGATTGATTGATTTGATTTACTGACCATCAACGCCTGCGGTTCTTTTGTGAAGATTAGTAGGGTCATTACCTAATACCTGACCATTGTGGACTTGATCACCCTCCTCTGTATATATACACCTTGTTTTGTACTTCTCCTTAGTCTGTGCTCACCCCTGAAGATGTGAATTACACGAAAGCGCTTGGGAACTGCGTGTTTTCTTCTTTCCTTGTGGTTATCAGCATATATATATATATATATATATATATATATATATATATATATATATATATATATATATATATATATATATATATATATATATATATATATAATAGTTACCTACTAACGACAACTTTAGGATTTTTTGTATTAGAAACTTTTGGCTGGCCAGAGACGATCTTGTAGAAAATCATTGTACTGTATATATAAATGGATTGTTTCTTGCAAAACTTACTTAACCTAACCAAACCTCACCTTACGTAAGCTACTTTAGAGAATGAGTGAAAGAAATCTATTTTCTTTGTAATGAAATGTTATAAGACATAAGAGAGCCTCACTGGACACCTGTGTGACCAACACAGGTATAAACCTATTTTGAAGTAAATAATATACTGTATATAACTGCTAATACAGTTAGAATTTTACATGATTCACGAGTTAAACTGATCACTGTGCACTCTTAGGTACAGCACAACTACTGCACTTTTACACGTCCTACTTTGGGAGGTTCACACTTACCCCCCTCACTACTAAGCCTATCATGCCAGACCATGACCCATCGCTCAGCTTCATGCCGTAGCTGTCATCAGGTGAGAACACGTATTTGTAACTGAAACGAGAATAGAAACGCCTGTGTACTGTTCATATAAGTATTAGCAGTAAAAATTAATTACATAGAGTTAGTGGTACAGTCACTATACAGTACACCAGCAGTTGGCCCCAACTTGCGGGCGCTAGAACCATATTATGGAGCCCGCGAGAGTTTATCAGAAAATTGAGATTTATTTGGGATTCTTTGGAAGAGTGAAATTAATGAAATATGTAATACTTGATGCAGCTTGAGAGAGAGAGAGGCGGGGGGGGGGGAACTGCGCGTTTGTCCGTGTCTCTCGTGTACAGGACGTGTGTATTTACCCCAAACCGAGCCGAGAGAGAGAGCCAACCTTCTTATTGGGGTAAATACACACGACCTGTCCAGGAGTATATGTAAGAGGTAGGTAACGGGTAAGAGTTAAACGTGTAAAACTGCAAATAACTGTACAGTATATTTGAGGATTTTTTCATGAATGTACAGTAGATCCAAAGTTTTAGCGCCCTTCACTATATTTACAATGATAAATGTGGCCCAGAGCCTCTAAAAGTTTGGGGACTGCTGTTACACCATCCACTATGCCATCCAATAAACAAAATCCGGGTAGAAAAAAAAACTCAAAACATTTCGTCACTATTGTGTTCAAAGTTCAGCCTCTTGGTTACAAATTTGCATGGGCTGTAATTCGAACAAAAAACAAACAAAAGCATATAGACAGTGAAACAAAAGTAAGCTAAGCAGCCACCAAGTACACCGTTTCACACGCGCTCCGAGTGGCACCCGGAAATATAACGGTGAAGGGAGCAGAGTAAAATACTGTCTGTAAATAGCATAGCGCATCATTTCTTAAAGAGCGCTTAGACTTATGCCAGAATATGTTTTATTAGAATATTTGATACTTTCATAAGTTTCGTCACAAGGCTCTGTTGATCGTGGGGAGGTTAGTTATGAGTTTTATTCCCTTTGATGGTTGGTTGTTTTAACAATGGCGGTAATTTAAATAAAAAATTTCGAGAGAAATTATAATTATTATTATTATTATTAATTATTATTATTATTATTATTATTATTATTATTTTTAGAAAATGGTGAGAGCGACTTGAAAAGCCTATGAAGAGTGAATACGAAGTTCGGTCTCCTTGGAAACTGATAGTCCACATCCTCTCCATGACAGGTGAAGGTCAAGCAGCGAGTGCCAATATCGACTGGTGTCGCTGTAAAAGATTTAAAGATGATTGTTGAGTGTTACTGTTCCTTACTGTAACGAACATGGGCCACTCATCGAGGAATTCACAGGTCTCTAATAGGCAATGTAAGCCCAGAACAGTAAAATGCAAAGTGTTAATAGAAAACACTTGGCCTGAATCACTATGTAACATGTTCTAAACGTAAAGGAAGAGACACCTTTATAAATATATGATAATATTGCTCTTTCATTATTGTCATCTAAAAGAAGGGGGCTTAATTAAGTATTGCAATGAAATGTAGTACTTGTTGTTATGAGTCACAGCTAAACCAAACCTAGTAATGGTCAATGATAATTTCAAGGGACAATTATTGTTTGTTCAGCCAATGTTGAGTCGCATGATAGTTGCCAAAAACTTTCATGGTTTTCTCCTTCTTTGGAAATGTTATGCAACATAACACATCACGAGTCTGATTAAATTAGTTTAATTATGAGCTCGGGGAAAAGGTGAGATATAGTAACAAGAAACTTTTGGACACAGTTGGCCTTTGGTCCTATATCTCTCATCCTAGTGCTTTTTTGTTTTTGAATATAAAAATCTTTAAACTTTATCTCTAAGTTATCATTATAACCCAGGACGAGGTTGGTAAGTGTTAACTAACTGGTCTGACACTGGCCTGAGAGCTCGTAAACTTCAGCTCTCTCCAACACGAACCTCATTATAAATGACAATTTTATAATATTTCTGTTTATGCACAAATATTATGGCTACAAAGTTTGCTCTCTTCTCGTATATTCAACAAAGTGGGTTTGAATATCAAAATTAATATAGAAGAATTGAAAGTTTCCTTGATATGCTTCTTAAATCCGTAGGTATTGAGCCTTTGTTCCAGATTGTTGTACCATTGCTGCTGTACAAGTTTTCATTATGAGTTTATTAAAATGTTTCCCATGATGCTGATATAACTGTAAACTGTGTATTCATCTATGGCATCCTTCTCACCCCAAATTTCCTTCATCCCGTCACATCGGAAAATCAGCATTGATAATACGTCACAGATATTCTCCATGTCTAAAAAGAGGGAACAAAATGGCGGTATGCGGAGTGACAACTAAATACTATCACTCTTCAATTATATGTTTAAATAGGCATATATAATAATAGGTAAAACAATTGATACAGTGAATATGATTTGTGGAACCCTGAAAAGAAGAACTCCAAGGTTTTCGACCAAATAGTCTACTAGCCGGTCCTGTATGTTCTTCAGTGAACCTAGAAATGTCGAGCACTATAAGGTTTTATGCTGGAAATGCAATGTACTGGTCATGAGGACTTAGAAACTGTCGGATGCTAATTTGCATATAATGAGCATTCTGCATAATTGACCTTATTAGCATATTAATTTGGTCAAATCTCTACATCAGAATATCTTTCTTAGTAAGCCATCTAGAGAATTCGTTTTGGTGTTTAGACCCATGTTTTTTACCCCAAGAAATCTATCTAATATAGTTCCATGATCATACCATGCTTCCGACTGCCTGAAATTTAATAATGCCAACGTGCATATTGAGGTATATCGTAAAATTGCCATAACTCTACAACCGTTGAGGATAGAGAGTTCGTTTCGAGGTCTAGCCCTATATTTTCGACTCGAAAGGTTCCATCTGTCATATTTTGAAACCACCATCACTCTTCTGACAACGTAAAAATCCAATATGGCCGCTGCACGTAATGAGGCAGCCATACTCATCGATGATGGAAGGAGGCACAGGGCACAGCTCATGCTGGAAGAGAGCTGACAATTTGAAGTTTCGTTTATGTCCAACGACCAGGAGACGGGCTAATATGTTTGTCTTTCACCCTGCTTCAGTACCTGCATGGTCTTCACCTTCTTTTTGATCGGACTGTGGAAGCCATCATGGAGAGATGCAGCGAAAGCCTTCTTTGGCAGATTCCACATGTCCATTGATGATATTATAAAGGGATGTGGAATGGTCAGTGAGTTGATAAGAATACCTCCTGAGTTCATCCGGGATCTTCAGGTAGTCCTCTCTGTCCAACTTCCGTCTCTTTTCACCTTTTTCTTTGTGTTTAGCAGGTGCAGAAGCAGGTTTTCCGCCAGGGCTGAACATTTCATCCATGGCCATGGAAGGGTTTGAGCAGACACCGAGCGACTCAATCCAGACAGTGACTTGTTCAGGGTTGGTAGAGATACCTTTATGTCCCCACCTTACTTGCCTTGCTTGATAAACGTCTGCCTCCCGAACTGGTCACCGGACACAGCGGTAGCTCCTTGAGAGTGGCGACAAACATGTCCTCCATCGAGAAGATCTGTTTTGGCATCCTGCGGTAGGTGCTGCATTTCCCCCAGGTGCCAGCTGATGTACCGTGCATGATGATGATGCCCAGCTGCAAAGAAATACGGCGGCATCCGCTCCAGGCAGTGCTGCTGTAGTAACCAGTCGCCCTCTCACTCGGCCTTCAGGAAATGGTGTGCAAGTATGGTTGGTGTGATAAAACAGTCGACCCAAGGCTTGCCTATGGGATGTTCCCTTGCCTGCTCGAGGTGTGCATCGATATCTTTATGACTTTTCTCTCCCTCCCGCAAGCAATCATGAAGAAGTGCAGCGACAACCATACGAAAGGCTCGCATTGCCTTTGGCCACGCCTTCCCATTGAAGATGTTGGCTATACCACAGTACGCACCACCGACGAGCTCCTCAACACCAGTACCTTTCACGTTGTATACGATGGTACCAATGAAAGACATCAAGGTGTGCATCATTCATGGTCTCAGAAACACACTTTTCCATCTTACAGGATCAAACCCTGCCCAGTGGTAAGGTCGTGGTAGTTGGGGACAGCCAGGTGAGGTTCTTAGATAGGATTTTTTGTGCAAGAGATAGGAAACGTAGGACTAGGGTGTGTTTTCCTGGGGCTGGGATAGGGCATGTAGCTGAGAGGATAGATAGGGTTTTGTCAGGGGAGGGTACCAAGCCAGTAGTGTGTCTTAGTGTAGGAGGTAACGACATAGGAAAGGTTAGGAGTGAGGAACTTTTCAAGAGGTATAGGGAGGCGCTAGGGAAGGTTAGAGATAGGGTAGGGATCCCTATAGTATGTGGCGTCTTGCCTAGAAGAGGGGTTGGCGGTGAACGGCTGTCCAGGGTAATTGCTATAAATTGCTAACTGGAAAAATATTGTGCAAGCAATGGTTTGGCGTTTAATGATAACTGGCAACCATTCTATGGCAACGACAACCTGTAGAGTTGTGAAGGAGTACACTTGTCTCGCGAGGGGGAAAAGACGTTTGTTTGCATCCCTGGAGCGTGAAATTGTCACTCCAAAGGGGGGGGGGGTCGCCAGTAGAGAGAGGTCAGGGTAAGTGGGAGTAAAAAAACAAGCAGGTCCTGGTGAGTAAAATTAGTTACTCAGGACAAGGGGTAAAACAGGTCCAGGGAAGGGTAGGTTTAAATGTATACTATACAAACCATAGGATCGTTAGAAATAAAATAGACTTTCTGAGAGCGGTTGTGTGTACCGAGAATGTAGACGTCATAGCAATCACCGAAACTTGGATGAATCTGGCGAGCAAGAACTTTTTATCAGAGTACCACATAGAAGGGTACAACCTTTTCACAAGGACAGGGAAGGTAGGAAGGGGGGAGGGGTCGCACTCTTCGCCAGGGACTACATTAAAATGTTGTATTAATAATTCAATAAATGGTGAAATAGGAACCGAGTCTGTATGGGTAGAAATTGCGGAAGGAAGAGAAAAACTAATTATGGGAGTGATTTACAGTCCCCCAGGTCTTGGGAAAGAAGCAGCTTAGCCCATATGGCAGGAAATGAGTAGGGCAACAAAATACAACAACCTGTGCATTATGGGGGATTTCAACTTTAGAAATATTGACTCGGACAACATTATAGGACAATTTTTTAAAAGAACAAATTACAGAACCTACTAGAGGTGACAATATATTAGATCTAGTATTAACAAATAAAGAAAATATTATCAGAGATATCACAATAGGGGAAGAACTAGGTAACAGTGATCACAGAGAAATCAGGTTCACCCTAAATTGGGAAACGAAAAACAATGACAATATGGTCAGAGTCCCAGACTTTCGATCAGCGGTTTATGAGGGGTTAAGAAGGTAGGTGAGGTCGCCTAGGTACAGTCAGGTCAGTCCCCGGTAGGAATGGGTGAGTTCACAGGCGACACAACAATTAATCATGTCTATAATATATTCACTGGTATACTGTGTAATGAATAAGAACAAAATATACCATAAAGAAAAAACAATAGGTCTAATAAGAATGAGCCAAGGTGGATGACCAAAAAACTTAAACATGACATAGGAATAACGAAAAGAATTTATAAGAAATTAAAGGGAGGGGAGGAGCAGCTCAGAAATAGGTGTAATGAACTATCTAGGAATGTTAAGAAAATGTAAGGAAGGAAAAGGGGGACTACGAAATCAGGATAGCAAGAGAATCCAAGGCGAATCCCAAGGGATTTTTCCAGGTATACAGAACAAAGGACAAGGATAAAGTAGGATCTTTACAGTCAGAGAGAGGAGAAGTGATCGATAACAGTGAGAAAATAAGCAAAGCATTAAACAGCTACTTCTTATCAGTTTTCAGAAGAAATTCACGAGTGGAAATGAAGAAGAGAAATTAAAGAATATGACTATCAGAAAAGAGGATATTCCTAAGAAGATAAATAAATTGAAGAAGACAAAATCCCGACGGCCGGATAAAACTTTCCCTCGAGTTTTGAAAGACTTTATAGAACAGATTAGCGGACCCATCGTAAATTTATTTACAAAATCATTAGACATGGGAGTTGTGCCAGACTTGTGGAAACGGGCAAATGTAGTACCCATATTCAAAAAGGGAGACAGAGCATCAGTGTCAATTTACCGGCCGATTAGTTTGACGTCAGTAGTGGGGAAATTTATTTAATCAATTACAGGTATAGCAAATATCATCCGATCGCATTTAAAGAAGTACAAATTAATCTACGACTCTCAACATGGGTTTACAAAGGGAAAATCTTGTCGAACGAATCTGCTGACGTTTTTTAGGAAAGTCTTCGAGGTAGTAGATAATGTTGAAAATTACGAATTTATTTACTTTGACTTTAGCAAAGCGTTTGACAAAGTACCGCATCAGAAGCATCTGAGAAAAGTTAAGGCTCATGGTAACGAGGGCAAAGTTTTAAATTGGATAAAATTGTGGGTCATCGATAGAACACAGAGGGTCAGTGTAGATGGTGTTAAATCTGAGTGGGGTTGTGTAACCAGTGGGGTTCCCCAGAGATCAGTACTAGGCCCACTCTTGTTCATAATCTACATAAGCGATCTAGATGCTGGTATCAGCAGTGACATAAGCAAGTTTGCGGATGACACCAAAATAGGGCGGCAGATTAATTCAGGGCAGGATGCAAATGCATTACAGGAGGATTTAAATAAACTGCAGGTGTGGTCAGAAAAAAAGGCAAATGAAATTCAACACCAGCAAGTGCAGCGTTCTTAATATTGGAAGAACAAATACTGACAATGTATACAGCCTAAACAACATCAACATAGAGAAGTCGACTTGTGAAAGAGACTCAAGGGTACTTGTAACCCCGGACCTACGGCTTAGAAAACAGTGCATTAATGTTCGAAATAAGGCAAACAGAGTATTGGGTTTTATATGTAGAAGTGTAAGTAATAAAAGTGCAGAGGTCATATTGCAACTATATCTTGCGCTAGTCAGGCCGCTCCTCGATTATGCTGTTCAGTTCTGGTGCCCTTAGTATAGAATGGATATCAATTCACTGGAGTCGGTGCAGCGAAGAATGACGAAAATGATTCCGGGACTTAGAAACCTTTCATATCAGGATAGATTAAAGAAACTAAACTTGCATTCCCTAGAAAGACGAAGAGTGCGGGGAGATATGATAGAAGTATTTAAGTGGGTGAAAGGAATCAATAAAGGAGATATAGATAAAGTTCTTTTAATATCCGAGCAGGATAGGATTCGGATAACGGATTTAAGTTGGATAAGTTTAGGTTTAGGAGGGAGATAGGAAGAAACTGGCTCACAAATAGGGTGGTGGACGAGTGGAACAAGCTTAGCAACTTTGTAGTAAATGCTGGAACGCTGGAAAGGTTTAAAAGGAGGCTAGATAGATTCATGAAGGATAGAGAGTGGTTGTAACTCTCGACAGGAGCTGTCATGCACCGGCCAACCGGCCTATTGCAGAGTCCTTATTTTCTTGTCTTCCTATGATCACAGATTTCAAAGCTTCATTAACACATGGTTTAGAAAATTCAAACTTGGTGGAGTCAATGGGTACCTTTCTGAATTTATTGTAGCAGTGAGTGTGATGCTGAGCATCTGCTGCCGGTAGGTCGATTGGAGCACCGTTGACTCTAACCTCAACAAATCTGGACCACTCATCTTGGCGTGTATCACATATGTCAAGTATCACTTGCTTGAAAGTAGGCTGGCCAGGTATTTTTACCGTCTCACACTGATTGACAGGTCCCCATCTTCGGAAATTTTTTGGATCTCTTGGTACACAGATCTCGCCACATAACAGACAATCTCTTTTGAATACAAATTCACTCAATTTTGAAAGCCTAACTCTTTCAGGAGGTTCATCACCATGTGGCAAACCACAAGATATTCTCTTCCTGCTGCCTGATACATTCCTTGACACAGAGGTGTACGAGCAATAACATGATATGTGACATGACACTGCAGCGTTATCACCGTCTAATGCAAGTATGGCCTAATTAATATGCTAATTAGGTCAATTATGCAAAATGCTCATTATATGAAAATTAGCACCCGACAGTTTCTGAGTCTTCACGACCAGTACATTGCATTTCCAACATAAAACCTTATAATACTCGAAATTTCTAGGTTCACCTCCTTAGTTAGCAGACTAAAATGCACAGTTGCTAGTGAAGAAAGATGTGATGTGAACTAACAACTTTATTCGGTGTATGCAGCGGGGCCCGGACAAAAGCCCCTAAGACTGAAAATAAGAAAAGTTGAATTTACTTGTATAAATATGTGTTTATCCCATATGCACACTATAGCTACATGAACTGTAGTGTCATGTCATACAAGTATTAGGAATTTGTATCAGATTTGTTTTTCCGTTGTTTAATCTTCATATGTCATTGATAAATATTTAATGATATATTATAAGGATGAATCAGACTTACCTGAAATTCATTCCTTGTCCAATATAGTCTAAAATGTTGTCTTTGAAAACTCCGGCGTTGTTTTTGACTTGTTTAATATGGTTGTGATCCACCCCCACCGCCAGAGTTGGTCGCTCCAGGAATCTACGTGAGCATAGATTTTACTGGAAGAGTGAATTACAAACTGGACAGGTTCTTCTCATTTAGCAAGACGCATTAATCGTTATATATTATTTATTTAAGTATTCCCAGTGCTATCCCTCCTCTTTATTCGATTTTACTGTAAGTGTAGAATGCATTGTCTTCTCTTGCAAATACGCTTAAAGATATATCAATTATTCTTTAAATTTTGTTGAAATCTGAATCCTATAATGCAGTTTACGACAAGTTCTATAGTAATTAACCTTGGTCTATTAGTCAGGATTATAATACCCTGCAGAATCTATCGGGTTTTATTATCAAATGATACCCAGAAAGATGAATAACTTTATCGTGGGTTATAATGACTGTTTCCTGAAGTATAATCTTTCACTGTATACATTGCCTTATATGATATTCAAATGGGTTAACCGTTTAACCACAGTATGGAGGAATGCCAGTAGTAATAATCTGCAAATATGGTTTTCATACCTACCAAAAGATTCATCTTGGTTTTATTTAAGCTTTACCTCGTATTGTATTGTTCAGCTTTCTTTGCTGGATAACCAAATTATTGTCAGTCCCTCCATAAAAATCGGGATGGCAGTATATCCCTTTTCATAAAAGCATCTGATATAACAATTCGCAGTATCAGTGTGATGAAATTAACATATAATACCTTAAATAAAAGAAAAACTGTCCATTGTATGGAGCCAATGTCTTAAATACAGTATATCAACACCTTCTTAAGGAAGTATTTTTTAGCTAATTTCTGAGAGGCAATATATCTTTCCGGCCCATTTTCAATTAAATGTGACGACCTTCTGACACAGACGACAACAAAACACGATTTTTTATTATCAATCTTGGGGTTAAAAGACCCGATTTTTCCATCGTAAGTCAATACACGATTTACTGATCTCGCACATATTTCATGGTTTAGGATCTAAGAGTTGCCTTCAGCAGATATAGATAATCGTCATAAATATTAGTAACAATTATCAAAATATAAAATCAATACCTCACAAGTCGGGAATGGAACCATGGACCTCTACGTTTTTCATTATAGTTGGCACGGGCAATCCCCGATGGAGGTTTACGTTGCTTAAGAATAAGACAAATGAACAGGCTTTGTGTGAAATAAAACAAAGCCTAGGGTTGCTTTTGTTGTCCTTGTGGCGCGGGGATAGCGATCCCTGTTCACAAGCGGAGGCCCAGGGTTTGATTTCCGACTAGTGAGGCTCATACGTGGCGAGAGGTTTTCTTTTATCCAAACCTCACTTAGTGAACTTATCCGGGAAGAGCGGAAGCTGGGTGTAAAGAGTTAGGTCATGGTTGGGTGTCCAGGAGGCAACCTGCATCGCCTTGGCTTCCTGGGGTGTGTAGGGCAGGTGTATGAGCACACGACACCTAGTAAAGAGGCTGGTTATGTGAGAAATCCCTCAGTTTTATCCTATGCACCTAAAGAGGCCGTAGTACGTGAATCACTTATCTCAGTTAATTTATTTGCCTGGTCAAATAAAAATTTGCATAGTTTAAGAATCATCGATATCTCTTCAGTACCTTACAACTTCCATTGTGTCGTCAACAATCAGTAACATGGAATTGGTCATGGAGAGTAACTTGTGTAGGTGTTGGAGGTCCAGGAGGGGCAGGCGGGTGACGACGAGGAGTCTGGTCGACCACACTAGGAGGCGGCCCTTGAGAGACAACTCGGCGAAGGCGGCAAGGAAGGCTGGGTCGTCGCTCACTACCACCACCGTCACGCACCATGACACTTGCTCCAGCTGTTGACGTTAACATGATAAAAGTTATGTGAGAGTGACCTACCCGCCTCAGTAGTAATGTGAGAATGACCTATCCGCCTCAGTAGTAATGTGAGAGTGACTTACCCGCCTAGCCTCATTGACCACTTGGAAGAGCTGCACCTGCGTCTCGTTTGCATTCTGGCCGTCCACTGCCACCTCGAACAATGCAATTCCAGAAGAGAAGTTCGTCTGTGACACAAAGCCCTTTTCATTTAAGAGATGCATAAGTGGCCACGCAGATGCACGTTAGAAAAATATAACCAAATAATTTCATTTACAGTATGTTATTTTTTTTCAAATAAAATCCATTTTACGAACCACGAAGAAACGCGCAGTGGATGTGTTGTCGTCCATTAAGATAATCACTGTACAGCGAGGATGAGACCCATCTGCCAACACTGACTGAAGAGCATCGACTGGTGTGGGTGACACCCCAGTATCACCTGTGACGAGAGTACATACAGTACTCACTTTAGGGGTGAGAACAAACTAAGAAATAATTATTGACAAGGCCAATATATACAGTAAAGGAGAGTGAGATCAAGCCCCTAGGGACAGCAGGTGTCCACCACATTCATGTCACCCTATCACCTGGTTATAAATGTTCTTAATCACAAAATTATCCAACTTGTATATGCCACTACTCAAATTCATGTTGAAAGATTCGGTATGTTTAATGAGGCTAGGTTCTATGATGTTCCTACTGACGATTGAATTACAAGGTAATATATGAGCCTAGTCAATAATTACTCCTGTGCCTGTACTCACGTGGACAAGTCAAATCTTGATAAAATCACACAGGAAAAGGGAAACACTGGATCACTTTAGCTTTCGTCTCTATTCAAGACATCTTCAGAGGAAACTGAATTTACAGGGACTGAGAGAGGCTTATATACATAACGTCAGGTCAGGTCAGTAACAAGAAGATGTCTTGAGTAAAGACGAAAGTTAAGGTGCTCCAGTGTTTCCCTTTTCCTGTGTGGGTTTATCTCTCTCTCTCTCTCTTTATATATATAACAAAGAAGTATGTCTGTGTGTGTGTTTGTTTGTGTGTTTGTGTGTATGTGTGTCCGCACGAGAATCTCGGAAACTACTTTACCGATCTGTAGGGATGATGGATGGTGTTATATGTAGTGATGATGATGGATGGTGTTATATGTAGTGATGATGATGGATGGTGTTATATGTAGTGTTGATGGATTTTGTTATATGTAGTGATGATGGATGGTGTTATATGTAGTGATGATGGATGGTGATATATGTAGTGATGATGGTTGGTGTTATATGTAGTGATGATGGATGATGTTATATATAGTGATGATAGGTGGTGTTATATGTAGTGATGATGGATGGTGTTATATGTAGTGATGATTAGACAATAAAATAATAACAGTTTAATGCTAAAAAAATATACTTTGCTGTACCGTTGTAGTGAAAAACATGGTGGAACTTACATACACTGTTAATGAACTATTGATGGAAGAAGAAGTTTTGGGGACTGAACAGTGAGACAATGTGGAGCCTCCCGGAGGGTGGCGTCCTACCGTTGCCTAGCGGATGAGCCGCCCGGAGGGCGGCGTTTCTACTAGTGTGTATATATATATATATATATATATATATATATATATATATATATATATATATATATATATATATATATATATATATATATATATATATATATATATATATATATATATATATATATATAATCACACAGGGAAAGGGAAACAATGAAGCACCTAAGCTTTCGTCTTTATTCAAGACATCTTCAGAGGCAACTGAATTACAAAGACTGAGAGAGAGCTTATGTACACAGGGTGACCTTACAAAACATGAAGTCAGGTAAAAAAACATGACATCCACTAATCCACACACCAACACCACAGCAAACATAAGAAGAGTTTATAAGAACGGGCGACATAATTAGTCATGTCAAGTCAGCTAAAAAATATGAGACCCACTAATCATCTATCCTACATCTACCCGAAATGCTTTTAAAGCATTTTTAACCTTGGGCCAATGATAAATAAATTTGTGTAACATGTTTTGTACTGACCATCACTAAGGCTTAAGGAATTCATTTCTCTAAGAAAATAAGAACATAAGAATGGAGGAAACTGCAGTGGGCCTATTGACCCATACTGGGCAGTCCCATTTTCCTTGTGGGTGGGGTCGGTTATATGTTGGCTAAAGAAACAGTCCTGGATTGTTTCAAGAAAATCCTCTGATTCTGAGTTACCCGTAAGGCCAATCCAATCTATTTGGCTAAGGTTAAAGTTGCATACGATACGACTTTACTATGTATGGAAGACCTGCACATTTCATCCCAAATAAGTCGCTTATTAACTCTATCAAGATTAGGAGGTCTACATATTATGCTTGTGATTAAGTTTTCCCTACCATCGATTAATTCTATCTAAATTGTTTCCGTATTCCACTCAGTTTTTATTTCCTTATATATATCACACTTCAGATTATCCCTGACATAGACTGTTACTCCTCCTCCTTTCCTATGTTGCCCATCGTTATGGAATAATTTGTAACCTGCAATTTGGGATTCGACAGGTAATTCACATGCGTCTAGGTTTATCCATGTTTCGGTGAATGCTATTTTATCGATTTTTTCGGTAAATACCAACACCCTGATTTCATCCATTTTGTTTCTCATACTTCTACTGTTTGCATAGTAGACATTTAAGTTTGTTGTGTTCTGAGTTCTCTCTTTGTTGCATTTAGGTTTTAACTCCCTGCCTAATTTAGTTTTGTCATCATTCCTAGCACTATTTCCCTGTAACCTTTCACTTTGTTTACCAGCTCCCACTGCAGTCTCCTCCACCCCCATGCCCATATGTTCTTCTAGCAGTTTAAAGACTTCGACATCTTTTCAACTGCCTTCTCGAGAGAGCCAGCCAGGGTTGCCACCCCATCCTTTCTGCCGTAAATGCTGTACCAGTTGTCAACGAATGGGACTGATATTGACTTGCAATATCTGTCAAGACGGCCGTTGACACCAACTGCACTTGACATCCATTCATTGCCAACTCTCTTTCTAGGCAGGACACCACATATGATAGGGATCTCTCTCTTCGACCTAATGCATTCTATAGCTGTCTTGAGCTTATCAAGAAGCTCTTCACTCCAACACCGGCCAATATCATCGCCTCCTACACTGAGGCAGATAATGGGTTTGTTCCCATTACCAGACAAGATATTGTCCATCCTGTCAACTATATTCCCCATCCCAGCTCCTGGCAAACACACCCTCATCCTATTTTTATTTTTACCACAAAAAGCTCTGTCCAGGTACTGTACCTTGGAATCACCAACAATTAAGGTTTTCGTACCTTCCTTGTCAGCCTCGTCCCTGACTATGCTAACGTCCAATTCGTCTGTCAAAGGACTGAAAGAGTTGGTACACTTAGCTGTTGTTGTCGTATCCTTGTTGTGTTTTTTTTTCTCACCACCAGTTTGGTCGTCCCTCTCCTCACAACCTTCCATTCGCCTGAGTTTTCATCAGACACGGGCTTTCCTTGTCTCGTGCCTTTTTCCTTCATCCTCGCTATCACTTCCTTTAATTTCAAGATTTCTTCCTTGGTTCTCTCTAACTCGGCCTTCAGGGCACAGCCCTGTTCACAAGTAGCACTAGCCATTACTGACAGTTAATCCCTGGGAGCTAAGCCTGCATTGACCTTTCCTCTAGTGAGGTCAGAACACAACTCTAATCAATCTTGCTTCAACTAGAAGTCTTTCTGCAACACATGATGATTTATACACTTCTAAACTGTTTTCCCAATCTATGGGAATTATTGTTCTGTTATCGCCATGCACAATTGTGGGCGCCAGCCACATGTTAAGTGAAGAAACTGTTTACAACTCAAAATAGCTTATTAAACGAGATGGAGCTGGTAGCAGCTGTTTGACTGCCTGAGGGACAGTCTATCGCCTTCTACTGTAAAGGCAACATCTTGATTCTCGTCAACCAACATCTTCCTGCAGGACATTAGATTTGTTCCCGTTGGTCTAACCCTAGACCCCAGAACGTGAGTGTGATTGTGAACAGTTGAATCCTCTGAGAACTCTAAATAATTTTAATAAGTGTAATTATGTACTGTATATTCTGAGAACTCTAAATAATTTAAATAAGTGTAATTATGTACTGTACATTGATCGTATTATTCAAACTGTGTCCTGATATACCAGCAGTTGTTATATGTGAATTGTATTCAAAAGGTTTTGACCGAATTATACTCATCGTGTCAACGACAAGGGTCTTATTGTTCTGCACAAACCAAAATCGCTCCTATGAGCGATTACAGTTCCTTATATGTTTTGTAAGATCACCCTGTATACATAAGCTCTCTCTCAGTCTTTGTAATTCAGTTGCCTCTGAAGATGTCTTGAATAAAGACGAAAGCTTAGGTTCTCCATTGTTTCCCTTTTCCCTGTGTGATTTTATCAAGATTTATCTTATTCACGATTACATTGTGGATCTACTGTACATGATATATATATATATATATATATATATATATATATATATATATATATATATATATATATATATATATATATATATATATATATATATATTTTTTTTTTATTTATTTTTTTTTTTCTGTTTATATGTATATCCGTCAGTTTTATCTCTACCTATTGGTCTGAATTTTACATTTTCGTTAAGTAAAGTATGGTTACCTATAATACTAGAGGGATGTTCTGGGCCTACCTTATTATATTATCGTTCTTATTTTTTATTAGAGCTCTAATTACTCTAGTAGTTATAATATATTGGAAATATTCTTTCAATTTTAGAGTTTGTGATAATATTAGAAAGACTTAGTTGAAAACATGATGTATCGTCTAGAATGAATAATGGTGGACTTAGTCGAAGTGAGTTTTAATGTAAGAGATAGACATTAGGCTTCCATAATGCTGTAGAATGTACCTACCATCAGGGTGAAGGCGGTGGGCAGCAGTCACCACGACAGTGAGAGACAAGTAACTCAGGAATGGGCAGCGAATCACCTCCATGTGTACCTGTAGTTACTAGAACATGTGATGAACAAATCTCTCAGAAACAAATCGAGATAATTTGTTTTCTGTAAGATTTTACTATAAATAATTACATAATTCATGAGATATAATTTCGCTATCTTATGGTGGTTAACGATATCTTAAATGAATAAGAGCAAAATATCTACCTATCTATCTATCCATCCATCCATGCATTCATCCATGCATCCATCCATGCATCAGAGTACCACATACAGTAGAAGGGTACAACCTTTTTCACAAGGACAGGGAAGGTAGGAAGAGGGGAGGGTTCGCACTCTTCGTCAGGGATACATTACAATGTTGTATTAATAATTCAATAAAGGGTGAAATTAGAACCGAGTCTTTATTGGTAGAAATTGCAGAAGGAAGAGAAAAACTAATTATGGGAGTGATTTACAGGCCCCAAGCCTTGGGAAAGAAGCAGCTTAGCCTATATGGCAGGAAATAAGTAGGGCAGCAAAATACAACAACCTGTGCATTATGGGGGATTTCAACTTCAGAAATATTAACTGGGAAAACAGTGTAGGTGACTATGAATCTGAAGATTTCCTAGACGCATTACAGGACAACATTTTAAAACAACTAATTACAGAACCGACTACAGGTGACAATATCTTAGACCTTGTATTAACAAATAAAGAAAATTTTATCAGAGATATCACAGGGGACGAACTAGGGAACAGTGATCACAGAGAAATCAGGTTCACCCTAAATTGGGAAACGAAAAACAATGACAATATGGTCAGAGTCCCAGACTTTCTATTGGTGGATTATGAGGGGTTAAGAAGGTACCTAGGTGAGGTCGCCTGGGAACAGTCAGGTCAGTCACCAGTAGGAACGGGTGAGGTCACCGGCGAAACAACAATTGATCATGACTATAATATAGTCACAAGTATCTAATATACTATTGCGCTAGGCTTGTGTGTATGTGTGTGTGTGTGTCTGCTCCGGGCAGCCGAAACTGCACAATCGTTTTTCATCAAACTTGGTGGAAAAATCGCAAAAAATTCGTACAGTGGAACAAACCTGGTCCCATATCGATGGTTTCTTTAGGAAGCCATTACATAACCATTTTATTTACGCTGGAAAAAGATGCAAGTCTATGGACTTGGCGCACCCAGCCCAAGATTGCAGTTATCGTACGGCTCACTCCTCCTCCCCCCCAATTTTTTTCTTAGCCTACTTTTTTTTATGTTGTTTGGATTAGTAAATGAAGGAAGATGAGTAAATAGAAGAATAAATAAAGAAGGGAAGACAGAAAATAGTTGGAGATAACAGGTGGGGGGAGCTGAGTTTCATCATGCGTCTGGATGCGCAGCTACTAGACGACCTTACAGCTACAGTGTATACTTATTCCTGTGGATGGAAAAGGAGAAGAGATAAAAAGATAATAACAGGAATGCATGGAGAAGATGACTACAATAGACACAGGGTGAATATAGACAGTGAAACAGACAGGAGGTTGACAAAAATAGACAGATTCATACATGCACAAATAGACAATATGGCGACTATCAGGACAGACAGACAGCTGACTGACTGGTTCACATTAGACAAACAGGACCCACGCCAACAACGGATAAGACAGACAGATTTGACGACACAAAGAGTACAGGCCGGCTTACATTCAAACACCACGCAGACGAACAGACAGTTGGGATGGCAATAGACAGGACGGATAGACTTGAGACAGATTAGAAGGCATTTATGCACAAGAATAACACCAAATTGACCATAGCTGCATCAGTGAGGGTAGCCGGTCTTACATCCACCAGTGTAAATAATAAGACGCATTGAAAACTAACACCCACGCGCGGAAAGAACATCGATGGTCGGTCAGTCATGTGAGATGGGCCTAAAACTGACTAACGTACATGATGACTATGATGACTTAACACAGGTGATGACTTAAGCAGATGGTGACTAATCTTACCAGAATCAAGGTCACTTCTCTTCATAATATAATTTATCTAGGAGTGATCATTGGTGATTCATAATATTTTTTTATTATTTTAACCTCTCCTTATGGCGAATATTTCTTTAACTAATTATTCTAACCTTTATTCTATTCCTTCTTATAGTATATTAGATACTGTAAGTATCACGACCAAGACCATGATTATAACAACCACGACTATGATTATAACAACCAAGACCATGATTATAACAACCACGACTATGATTATAACAACCACGACTATGATTATAACAACCACGACCATGATTATAACAACCACGACTATGATTATAACAACCACAACCATGATTATAACCACCAAGAACATGATTATAACAACCACGACCATGATTATAACAACCACGACTATGAATATAACAACCACTACTATGATTATAACAACCATGACTAAGATTATAAAACCCACGACCATGATTATAACAACTACGACCATGATCATAACCACGAACATGATTACAACAACCACGACCATGATTAAAACAACCTCAACCATGATTATAACAACCACGACCATGATTATAACAACCACGACTATGATTATAACCATGAAATTATCCAGTTTGTACATACCATTAAACATACCGAATCCGTCAACATGAATTTGAGTAATGGTATGTACAAACTGGATAATTTCGTAATTAAGCTTTGTAACCGGAGGAGAAGGTTTGTTTTCTGACCTGACCTGACTGCTGCAGTGCTTTTGAAGACATCTAATAACCTGACTATTGTGGACTTGATCTCAACTCTACTGTATATATATTTGCCTTGTGTGTATAGTTCAATACCTTGAAGATGTGAACACGAGTGAACCTGTTTTTTCCTGTCAGCATATATATATATATATATATATATATATATATATATATATATATATATATATACACTAAATAGATAATTGCTGATTAGTCTATGTATATATATATATATATATATATATATATATATATATATATATATATATATATATATATATATATATATATATATACAATAAATCACTGTAGGTGCGCGTGATCTAGGTATATGCTGATAACCACAAGGAAAGAAGAAAACACGAAGTTCCCGCTTTCAAGTAATTCACATCTTCAGGGTGAGACAGACTTAAACAGAAGTACAAAACAAGGTATGTATACAGAGGAGGTGGAGAAGGTCACAATTGTAAATTAGATAATGACCCTATTAATCTTTTAAATAGCACCTATTTGTACAAACTGGACAATTTTGTAATTCAGTTGCCTCTGAATATGCCTTGAATAAAGACGAAAGCTAAGGTGCTCCGATTTTTCCCTTTTCCCGTGTGATTTTATGAATATATATATATATATATATATATATATATATATATATATATATATATATATATATATATATATATATATATATATATATATATATATATAATATAAAAATTCCAGTGTAATTTCAAACGCTGCGCCATTGGCGATACTGAGTTTCAAGGTCATCTGAGGGGGAACAGCGCTTATCAACTGCAGTGAGAGAGTCGGGAACTGCACCCATATAATATTAAGTATACTCTGGCGACTTTATTGGGAGGCGAATTATGAAATGAAATATCAGTTATTAAATGAAAAATTTTTTAGATTGTTTCCCAGTCTGGAAATGTTGTGTACGTCCTAATTAAGCATTTTTTAGCAGAATTTCATATTCCAGGATATAACCTATTTAAATTTGACAGAGAGGGAATGGTAGTGTGGCGGTGTAGCAGTGTATATCAGGGTGTCACAGTGCTGCAATAAATCAAACATTAAAACAAATAGCGACAATGAAAGTATTTGGGTAGAGATTGGTGAGCAGTGAATCCAGTCATTGGTGTTATATATAGACCACCTAATTTGAGTAGGAAACGATGGTACCGTTATGGGAGGAAATAAAAGAAGGCATCTTGATATGAAACAATGTATGTATTCTAGGCGATTTCAACTTTTCTGTGTGTATAGATTGGAAAAATCAACTGAGCGATAATGAATCTGAAGTTTTCAGAAGTAGTACAAGATAAGCTTTTATATCAATTCATAAACTCGCCCACTAGAGGAAATAATATCCCTGATTTAGTTCTCAGTAATAATGAAAATCTAGCAAAAGATGCTGGGATTTGGAGACGAAATCCAGGAATATGACCGTAAAGCCATATATATTTAACATAATATGATGTAGGAAGAAGGAAAATCTGGCCTTGATCCCGGATTTTAGGAAGGCTAATTTGGTAGCTTAAGGAGAGACCTGATGACCCTATGGTCAAAAAGATTAATCCCCACACCGGAAACCGTCAACTTAGGACGGGATAAACTCAATTTAATTTAGCAGCTACTTATGAACAATTTATTATGCATAAATCAATAATGCCTAAAATAAACACACATCCTTAAAAGAAAAATTCAGATCGATACGAACCAACCAAAAATGGATGAATAATAGACCTAGATCTTCTAGGGAAAAGAAAGGAGTATATAGAAAAGTAAGAAAGGCGAAAATCACTTACTTGGTTAATATCAGAACCTAACAAGACAGGCACAAACAGAAATTAGAAAGCAAAGAGAAATTATGAAATCACAGGCAAACGAATCGAAAAAATAACCCCAAAAGCTTTTATCAACTGTATAAATCAAAGCACAGAGATACAATAGGTCCCCTTAAAACTACGACAGGAGAAATGACTGATGATGAGTTAGAAATGTGTAGTACGTTGGGGCCAGTCATAGAGAGATTCACAAATGAAAAACCTAGCACAGTTTCCAGAAGTTCATAAGGTATATATAACGATAGTATAGGAAAATATGTTGATGCATATCAATATTACTAGTAACGATGTGCTTAAAGTAATTAACAATGCAAACTGAAGTTTCATAAATCGCCTGGTCCAGACGAGGATATACAGAATATTAAAAGAATGTAGAGATGTTTATAATCCATTAGCAGTTTTATTTAATAAGTCATTAGAATCGGGCCTAGTGCCAGGAAGCTTGGAAACTTGCAAATGTAGTTC